TTGGTTTACTTTTTATTTTTGGGATGAAATTTACGTGATTTCTGATTTTAAATATTGATTATTCAGTTGCATTTATTTTTCTTTAATACAAAATATTTGGTAAATAGTTAACTCTGGGATGGCGGACCATGGAGAGAGCCCCAATTTTAATTTAATTTATTTTACATTATTTTCCAAATCTTACACTGCTCTGGCTGAGAGTTTTAAATATTTTAAATTCGATAATCATATGTTTGTACATACTCTTTTTTATTAGCGAATAAGTTTTGTTATTTTGTTATCATTCATGTCGTGTAAGTACATCATTGGTAATTTTCTGATTAAAGAATACGTTTAACCTCTATTGCTCTACTTTCTCTGTTCTTCTTTTTATAGTTCGTAGCCACTTGTTTGCTATATTATATAAAATTCTCTTTCTTTTCTTTATGTTTTTAATACATTTTACACTATACTACTACTTTTTTCTTTTAACATTATTCCAAGATATATATATTAAAGTTCATTACAAAAAATTAAAGATTATTCGACTAAAAATAAATTTTTAAAATATAAGTTACATTATATTTTAACACTTAACTACATTTTAACACATTATTTACAAATGAAACATATTTTATTTCGTTTATTGTGTGAGGTTCTGATTTATATCTTCGTTGACTAAAAACTGAAGATACCCATTTGAAAAATTATTAGAACTATATTATGTATAAATTTCGATCCGATCCATGTCGTAGGAACTTATTGCATTCTGAGAATCTTGTATGATAACAGAATTTCGTAAAACGAGTTTCGTACATAATATTATAACAGTTGTTACTATCTCGCGAATCTCTGCTATTTCCTATCAGGGAAACGCGATCATCGATTTTCCATCGTATTTCAGATATTTGCTCATCAGAAAGCGTAAAATTGAAAATTTCAGGAAAAGCGTAACGGTACACGAGAAACTGGAGAAGAAAATCCAACGTATCCGATAGACTCTATTTTCTTTCTCTTTGCAACCGCTGTTTTCCATCTCTGTTTCAGCATCCCTTTCTTTATCCTGTGTATTTGTTTAAGATTGAAAGAAAATTATCGTTACTCACGTTTCCCATTCCCATGTCAATTCTTCTTTTTCATCTTACGTTCTCTTTGTACCATAAATATCCTTATATCGGGGAATATAAAATTAAAAATTTCTAAAAATTACGATATTTATTTGGAAAATTGACCAATTACAAATAAAATCTATTGTGAATAGTATGTATTGTAATAAATTAATTGAATAATAGAAATTAGGTAGTAAGAGATAAAGAATGATTCAGACGTTGCAAATATTGAAATAAATAATATTCGGTAAGTCGTACCATATAAAAAGGAAAAAGGTTGGAAGTAGAAATAATTGAGAGCGTTTTTTATAGGAAAAGTTTACGGAACATTGGCGTAATTAGATAAGAGCCAGGGTGGACCTAGGTGGGCACTATTCTAAACCTTTAATATTCTAAAATTCCAGAATTCGAGAATTCCAAAATTACAGATATTCACGATTTTAGAATTCTGGGTTACCAAAATGCTAAAATTTCCAAATACCAATATTTTACAATTCCAAAAATCCAAAATTCAGGATTTCCAATATTTTACAATTCCAAAAGTCAAAAATTCAGGATTTCCAATATTTTAGAATTCCAAAAATCCAAAAATCAGGATTTCCAATATTTTAGAATCCCGAAATTCCAAATTCCATCATTTCAGACTTCCAAAATTCCAGAATCCCAAAATCTCAGAATTTAAAAGTTAAAAAATTTAAGAAATCCCGGAAATCCAAAACGCTAAGGGACCTTGTCCAAGAGTTCAAAGAGTTCAATTTAAAATTTATTGTACATATCACATAATTTTCAAAAATATAATTTTTTTTATTGAACATTAGGTATTATATGAAATCTTTTTGTCAAAATTTCCGGAGGGTGGGGGCTTGTTTTAATCCTTTCATTTACTATGTAAAAAAATTCCAAACTTAGGAATGCCCTATAATTTTGCACATTTTGGACCCAATTGCTATTAGAAAAATAAACCCATTCCTTTTAAACTTTTCAAATATCTAAATTATTAAACTATGTATCTTTTCAATGTTTGTCCTATTAAATATAATTTAATTCTATTTAGATAAAAAAATTTCAATTTTTGAACCAAGTACATCAACTTAGCAGCCTCTGAAAAGTTAAATAATCCCGGGCTCCAAAAATCTTAAATCCGTTCCTGAAAAATATATACAATCTATGTGTCACAAGTTTATCCTTCTTTTCTACATGAAACTTCGAAAGTTACATTGTTTCCAATGCCTTCTTTGTCCGTTTCGATTTGTCGTGGAATTGGAAACAACGATAAAAAGGAAGAAATATCGTGCAGACAAGCTTCTTATGGAATTGTGAAGTCAAAATCGATTCGTCGTTGGTTTATCGAACAATAAAATCAGTTGGCCGGTAAACTTTTCTCCGGCTTAATTAGATGCATTCTCGTGCAATTTTCATTCGACCTTAAAATATCGTCGTCGAGCTGCTACTCGTTCCAGGGTTTTCGCTTTCCATTCCATTACTTCCGCGTCCCTCTTTACGAATGCATCGACGTGTCTGCACTCGCCTTCTAAATGCGTGCTCTATTTTCTCCTTGAAGCAATACGAGACGCATCGCCTGTCTTTGCAACTCCCTTTCCACTTTATTCCTTCCTCTTTTTCTCCTTACTCCACCCAATACCAGTTCCCTTATCGTATTTACACCCCCGACGACGGTACGATTTTGTGTCCACTTTCTTATAGAAGCAGATCTACCTAGGGAGGAACTTGTGAAAATTTTAAAACGTTATTCTCTTACATCTGTACGTCTCCAATAAGATTGTTATTTATTTTTTTTTAAATTGCAGAAGCTTGTTGTATTTATTGCTACTTTCTTAGCAATTGCACATACCCTATTGTTGTAATAAATAGTTTGCTACGTGACATTAAAGATATTTCATTATTATTTGATCATATTGAGGAGGGAATAAAACAAGTGCATCATTCTAAAATCTTAAAATTTCAAAATTATAAAATTGCAAAATTCGAAGATCGTAAAATTTCAAATTTTCGAAATATTAGAATTTTAAAATTCCAGATCTCCAAAATTATAAAATTTCTAAATTTCTAAGGGACCTGTCCTACTCTAATAATTTTCTACATAAATCTTATAGTCTTTTGTAAACCTTAAAATATATAGGGATTTATTACCATTGTTAATTTTGATTAATAATCATAATAACAATTTCACTATAAAATATTAAAAATTTTAGGCCAGTTGATTTCTAAAAAAAATGGAAATTTCAAATTTTCGAAATATCAGAATTCTAAAATTCCAGATTTCCAAAATTCTAAAATTTCTAAAATTTCTAAATTTCTAAGGAACCTGACCTACCCTAATAATTTTCTACATAAATCTTATAATATCTTTTGTAAACCTTAAAATATATAGCGATTTATTACCATTGTTAATTTTGATTAATAATCATAATAACAATTTCACTATAAAATATTAAAAATTTTAGACCAGTTGATTTCTAAAAAAATTGAGGATAATTTTTAATAATATTATTATTAGCTGGGATAGCAGTAATAAAATCTCTTCTAACGATGCATTTCCATGCATAGATAGTCCTTTTAGGACGATGCAAGCATCTGCACTTTTCCTAGCTCTTTTTGCTGTTGGTTGCGCTCTTCGTATTTCATTCGCTGCACCTGTTGCACATGTTCTAGTTCCAAGGATTATGATTGCGAGAAGAATAAAAAGGAACACCGGGAAATAAAAGTTTATGGATAATAATGCTTTGAATATGTAAAAATAAAACAAGTACCAAGAGTTGCAGATAAGTAAAATTCCATTGTTAATAATTTTCAACGTTAATACCGTTGCAATTATTGCTTCTCCCGAATCAAGAGTGCACTTAATATAACTTTTTATTCAAAATTAGTTATTTGTAAATTGTTATTTGTATACTGCAGAGCATATTATCCTTTTATTAGAAAAAAAAGTAGAAGCATCCCTGTGCTAGTGTCAGTCTTGTTAGCCCTTAAAAATATAAAATTTCATGTATACAAGACAAGTAGTTATTGTAAACCAGATCAAGATTTTTCCAGTGATTATTTTCACAATAGCTGGACAAATTCCAACTACCTCATTTCATGAGAACTGACTATCGTTCCTGTTACAGAAAGTTAATGTAATGGAATTATTTAAATTCAGATGAAGCATGATAACGTGCTGATAATTAGAATTAGCTATTGTTACTCGAATATTTATTATTTAATCTTATTATCGCTAACTGTGAACTGATTAATAATAATGACAATTTGAATTTTGATACGATAATTAGTTTTTCCCCACCTGTTTGATACTTCTACTTAAACTTTGTTTTTAATTTCAGTTTGTTACTTCGTTTATTATGATTTCATCTTGAAAAATTTTACAGTTTAAGTAAGTTTAAAAAACGGATAAAACAATTATAGATAACATTGTAAAGAAACAAATTTTGATTAAAAGTAATATTATAAAAATGAAATGTAAAAATTGTACGACATAAAAATTGTTTAAATACAAAAAATGGATATCTACTCTTTTCATCGATGGAATAAACTGGTTTTCTAATAAAGATACCATCGAAACATGGGTGAAAACATTTTATACGGAGTATTGTAAACTTTTATTTCTTATCAGATAAAAATAATGACACCTGCCATTTAAAACATATAGATGTATAAAATGTTATTAAATTAACAACGATAGAAAGAACAGGGCAAAAATAGAAAGCTAAATACAACTCGGTTTTCAAAAAAATTAAAAATTTATTTTATGTAATATAAATTATTCTTATCAGAATAAAATTATACATCTCAGAATAAAACTAAAAGGCATTTCTATTCCTATATGTCTATAAAAAGACATTGCTGCCTAAAGAATAATAAATTCTAAAACGTGTTCTTTTCTTACATTTGCAGGTTCTTTGGGTACTTCGGTGTTCGACACAGATGTATATCTCGTTGGGGCTAGTGGCGGCGTTTATGCACTTCTCGCTGCTCATCTGGCTAACGTCCTCCTCAACTATAACAACATGGAGTTCGGCATAGTTCGATTAATCGGCATCTTTGTCATCGGTAAGATTCCAAACAAATCTTTATTCTTAACTTAGGCACTGCTCGAACGAACCACTTTTGAACCACAGTTGAGTGGACCATAGTCACTTACGATATGGATTTTTTAAATAATAATATAACATCGGAAAGTGGTCCACGAGTGATCCGCCAGTGATCCGTGAGTAGTCCGCCAGTGATCCACGAGTGGTCCGCCAGTGATCCGCCAGTGGTCCGCCAGTGATCCGCGAGTGGTCCACGAGTAGTCCGCCAGTGATCTACGAGTGGTCCGCTAATGATCCCCGAATGACCCGTGCGTGGTCCGCCAGTGATCCGCGAATGGCCCGCCAGTGATCCGCGAGTGATCCACGAGTGGTCCACGCGTCATCCGCGAGTGATCCGCGAGAGATCCGCATGTCGCTCATTGCGACCACCGTTTTATTATTCGACTGTTACTTCAAAATTGGTTCGCCTGAGCACGGTCTTATCGTAGACTCGATGATGCCTAAGATTTTCTTTCATTTACTTCCAAAAATGACCAAAAAAGCGCTAAAAAATCTAACGAATAAATTGTTTAATTTTCAGCGAGCGCCGACGTAGGGTTCGCGATCTACGACAGATACGCTGCCGAACAAATGGGTCCTCCAGTTTCGTACGTGGCACACCTGACCGGTGCGTTGGCGGGCTTGACGATCGGGCTCCTGGTGTTGAAGAACTTCGAGCAACGACTCCACGAGCAATTGCTCTGGTGGGTGGCACTCGGCGTGTATGCAGCCTGCACGATCTTCGCGGTTATGTACAATCTCATGCATCCGGATTATCCATGACGCGAGGTCAGCTTCGCGTACGGTCAACCGCGAAACACGTAACGCGAAGCTGAATAACAACGAACAAAGGAGAAAACTGTAAATGAGCGAAGAAGAGTGAGCGAAGAACGAGTCAGATGATGAATAGAGGAAGATCGTCGAGGCCGCAAACCCGGTGAAGATTCGGTGAATAAATGGAAAACGTTTGGTACGAATATATTTAATTCGCCTACGAATGGATCCTGAAGAAAAGAGAAGCTTTATTTAGAAACGCGAAGAAAGGAAGCCTCCGCATCGTCGATACGATCGGTTGTACGGGCAACTGATGATTTTCCTGTAAAGAAAAAGAACTAAATGGAAAGAAATAGTGAAATATTTTTGACAAGTGAATGTTATTTGTGCGGTCACCCTTTTTGCCACGGTATCTCATCGAGCGAAGAAAATTGCGAACGGGATGCAAAAGACAATTGATAAGATTTTTTTCTATGCTCTATAGCGGCGCACGAGAAGGTTTAAAATGCTTTTTCTTGGACTTAAGATGATTTAGAATGCGAATTAATTATGAAAATTAAATCAGTTACGATGAAAAAGGAAAAAGGAGAAGAATTTTTCAAATGATTACAGACTAACCGTACAAAAGATAATATTATTCTCTGAAATGTTATCAGCATTAAAAGATAAGGAAGGATTAATATTTGAAGCAAAGTGAAAGAGCGTGAGCGATGGAAAATGAAAGAAGACAATCCGATTACAGAAATGATAGACAGAAAATGTTCCTAGAGACCATGAAGATAAACTAGAAAATGTAATAGCCCTTGATTCGGATCGAAGAAAAATAAAAGCGCCAGAAATGGGAATACAAAGAGAAACAGAATAGCCGAGATAAGGAATGAAGCTGGAAAAAGAACTGTGAAAGGAAATTAGATCGTTTATTCGTAAAGAAACTTCATGAAGTATCGCCTTTCCTCGTTGGAATAACTGCGCAAAATCGATTCGCATAAAGAAACGGAAATTTCAGCGTCAGATTTAAACCTAGAAAAAAAATAAACAAAATCGAAAATTGAAGAAGATCGCGATTAAAAAAGTGAATCGAATCATTCGAGTGAAGAAAAGTGTTTAAAAATTGAAAAATCGATCCCTTCTTTTCGAGCGCTCATTTCTCCACTTTCCCAGTGAAAAGAAAAAACCAAAGAATCAAAATACCTCAGGGAATCCGTTTTCGGAATCCACTAACGTTCAAAGCAAAAGTCATCCGCGAAACGTTCCGTCGAGCAGGAAGTAGGAGCGGAGGAGAGCGATGACTTGGTCTCAGCTGGACGAGAGGAAGAGCAAGAGGCCAGGACCCTTCTTTCGGCGCATTTTCTCGTTTATCGGCCGCTCCGGGGCACGAAGAAACCAAAGAATCCTACCGAACGTCTTCACCTTTGTCCTCTTCGATTCAACTTTCCAAAAGGATCCGAACTCAACCGAATTTCTTTCCAAATTCAACCGAGAACGAAAGACTAGGAGCGATGTAGGCAAAATGCTTCGGGAATCCTTCGCGATGCCTAGGAAACGCAAAACTGCTAAAGGAGTGAATACGATCAATCGTTTTTGGTCAACGGATATTTTATTTTGAGGAAAACGAAAAAAGGATGATCGTCCTAAGTAATGTAAATGGAGAATTCCTTTTGATAATTTTCTTCCCTTGGTCATCGCGAATCGCTCAAAAACAAAGTATTGTCACAACTAAGGGAAGTATGCGAAAACCGTTGACGAAGGGTACTCGAAAAAGCTGGCGATAAGGGATCGACGAAAAGGAGGGACGATCTTCGACGATAATTCGAAATGGAAAAGATGGAAGGACGTGGAAGACGGAGTCTAATGATACTCACGCGAGCTGCCTTCGTTAATCTCCGGGACATTTAAATAATAATCGCAACGCTTGTTGCTCGATTTGCATGTCCGGACAAAATCGTTCGATCGCCTCGTCTTTAACGTGGCGAACGATCGAGCTGCGCAAGCCTGTATACCGTTGTAAATAATTCTGTACATAGTCGAGACGAAGAGCGCGCACCTGTATCGCAAGCGCGTGGGTTCTTCGTCGCGTGTACGTGCGAGAATGCCTGTGTGCGCGCGAATACTAAGCGGAAAAATAATTAGCGTGCGGGACCGAATGAAATCGGTTAGTCGCATGATCTAGTCCGATAATCGTGAGATGTATGATTGCTCGTATACACAAAGAAACAAAGAGGAATATTTTGAATTCGGTGTCTTGCGGACTAGCACATTTCTTTTGGTTAAACTTTGTTTTAAAGAACACAAAATTATTAACCTTTTTATTTTTCATCTGATAGTTTTTGATGTGCAGAATCCAAAAATGTGATTCTTAACTTCAGGATTCTAGCGGTTTAAAAGTTGTACGTATTTAAAGTCGAGCATTTTTAGCGTATCTTGTAGGTTAGTATGACGCCATATTGCTTCTATCCGTAATGTGATTGGTCCACGGAGTCGGATATCAGAATGGTGTCGAAAACCTAACCTAACCCAAAGCGCGCAAAGTACGTGTAGATAGATATTTGAATTATTCCGCCAAAAGGAGCACCAGCTACGTGCTTCTGTCTGCAGATAGCAACATTCATTGGACAAATCATGGAGAGAAACCAATATGGCGTCAAACTAACCTTCAAATTATGTTAGAAATGCTCAAATTTACGTATGTATAACTTTTGAACCACCGAATTTCTAGAGTTAAGAGTTGCATTTTTGGATTCTACACATCGAAAACTATTAAATAGCAAACAAAAAGGTTAATAATTTTATGTCCTTCAAACCAAAGTTCAGCCTTTTTTTCTTGTAAAAATCTATTAATAGGAAGCGAATGGGCAAAATAATTTATTTTCTTTCCTATCTCCGTGGAACAGACCTTTATCTTGAGGGTTCATTTTCAATTGAGTCTTGTTGCACAGGTTTTGGTATGGTTAGGTTAGGAAGATCATTGCGTTTGGTAAAACGACCGGTAGAGGGACACGCGTTGCCTGTTCGTATTCCTAGCGGCACGATCTAAAACTACTACTATTTATTAATATTTCTCCAGTGATTTCTATCTCGTTGGTTTCGTCTTCTCTTTTTTCTACTCGTTTATTCTCGTGTCCAGGAGAAGGTTTTCGATCGAATGTCTTTACTTGCAATCTATTCCTGATGCTAGCATACATAATCTTCGTACAAAGTTGATCAATGAAAATTGACGATCGTTTATCTTTATCGTCGTATTTTCATCGTTCAGTCCCCCGTACGGATACAGATGATCCTCCTTTCGATTTCACGCATCAACGATAAATTCATGAGACAACTACGAGTCAAAGCGAATCGCTTTTATTCCTTCCTTTTTGTTGTACGCCCACGTTGCTTCCGGCGCGAACCCTGCCGAATACTCGAGAAATATTTTCTTATGGCACACTTGGTATATGACGGATAATCGTTCGTTCGGGTTTCGCGAGTGAGCGGCGTAATTGGTTAAACGGAAGGAAGTGGGGGAAAGAAGGAAAGAAAGGAAAGGAAATTCGTACCAAAAAAGCCAATGGCGGAAAGGCGAGCAAATTCAAACCGAGAGTGATTAACGATGCTAGTCAATTAGTAGCGGCAGAAGGCAGCAAAGGCATTAAGACATTGCCGAAGAATAGTTGTTTTTTTTTTTTTTTCTTTTTCGTTCCAAGGGGCGAAAAGTAAGTCAGAAAGTCCAAAAGTCAGATGATTCGGTCTGTCGTCGCGAGATTTTTTACGCTTTACGATCGAATATTTTTCTCGACAAAATGGAGATCCTCAGCAGTATAGTAATTGTGAGTGGATAGACTCATATTCTTTTCAAGTATTCTTGATTTGTTAAGACTGTCAGTGTTTGTTTCATTACAGTTTTTGGCAAATATTCCTAAATTATTTTCACTTCGAAAAATCCTAAGTTTTGAAGTATAAAAAATCATTGGCGTAACTAAAATTATAATTGAACCCTCCTCATAAATGTGAAACTCTACTATTCTAAAATTTTAAGAATCTAGACTCCCAGAATATTAAAACATCAAAATTTCCGAATTTTCTAAATTTAAAAAATACAAATAATGTGAAATACAGAATTAAATTAAAATTGGAGCTCTCTTTATGGTCCGCCATCTGCGGGTTAAGGTGCTAAGTTATCGAACTTCGATCGGGGCTAGTTTATTAATTTGTTAATAATTAATGCATCACTGTTTTAACCTTGCCGTTATATTTAAGTTTCGATTATTTAGATGAGAATTCAGTTAAAGTGTAACTTCAAATGGAATTTCGCAAAATTCCTAAACAGTTTCACATTTGTTGCTGCAGTAAATTAAAATAAATTATTGAATAATAAAAAACCTATGATCTTGTTACATTTTTCACTAACTCATTCTTTTGTTTGGTTAATTATATTGCAGTATCTAGTCCAAAAAGAGCAGCAGTTATCCCTTGCTACAAATATCTTACTATTATCACTGTGATTAATGAATTAAAGTTTTACATAAAATATTCCGAGTATGTTTCGAATGTGACATATACGTAAAATTGAATATCGTAATAAAACTGTCAATTTTTTGCGAAATTCTTGCCCGAAAGATCGTCGAATAAGACCGAATCAGCTGTTATAGTAACGATCGAAAACCTCAGCATGGGAAGTGATTTCGACTAGAAATCGAAAGATAATAGCCGTGTAATCGTGACGTCCTCAACCGCCGAGTTTCACGTTTTATTTATTTCAAGGAGGCGCGCCTAATTATTGTTACTAAAGAGAAACGTAAAAGTTGTGCACAGAATGTAGCAAAGTTAATATAGAAGCGTAACTGAAATGAACCAGCGAAAGAGTTATTAAGTTGCGATTGTATTATTTGTTAAACTATTTGCGTAAATTAGATACGGCATAAGCATCGTGTTCACGTCGAAGAAGCTTAAGTGTCGATAATATATTCAATTCTTCCCTCGACACATATATATATATATTCTTTTTTGTCTTTTATTTATTTATTTATTATTTACCTTTATTAGCGGCGCTCGTCTCGTGAAACGCTCGATAAAGATGCAATGGAACACGGTTGCGGAGATCCATTCGATAGCAGTTAATTTTTAGACCTTCGATTTCGTTTCATTTTCGACACTTGAGCGGCTTCGAAATCGCGTAGCTCGAAATTTGTTTTCGGTGCTGCGTATAGCGAAACTATCATTTATTTATGTTCAATTCCTATTATCGTAGTGGGCATTGTTCGGTTCGAATTTTGTTTCTAGTCGATATGGCTTTGGTCCATTCGATCGTATGCCTCGCAGTTTCTGCGTTGAGTACATTCGCGATCAACGATGGCTTCCTTAGGAAAAACGGCGATGTCCCGGGCTCCCCCCTCCTTATAGACTTCTCTGGGTTCCCAGGTTTCCGACTCCGTTCGTAGGGTTCCCCTTCCCCCTACTCCTGCCCCTCGTTGCAGGAGGCCCTAAGGAAAATAATAACATACCCAAGAAGGGGATGGTAGCTAAGGTGATTCTGAACAACATTTTCCTTTGCGAAAATGTTGTTTGAAGCTTCGTTTTTGAATTATTAAGGAAAAACACTGGCCAATCGGAGCGCGCACAGCGTACGTTCGGGACCTAGGCCACGCCCATTTTCCGTTGCCGACGCTGCCGTCCCCGAGCACGCGCGCTGTACGCGCTCTGATTGGCCAGTGTTTTTTCTTAATAATTCGAAAACAAAGCTTCAGACAACATTTTCGCAAAGGAAAATGTTGTTCAGAATCACCTCGGCCACCATCCTCTTCAAGGACTAACACTCTTTCTGAGACACCCTGTATATAGGTCTGTGGTCTTCCACCACTTACGTATAATCAATCGTTTGCGCGGGAAATTTTGAATTAATATTTACTTCATTAGTCGTACTTTTCAATTATATATAAAAAATAATTAAAAATCATATTATTTTGTACTTAAATCACTTTCAGTATTAACATCGTCCAAATTAGGATTTTGAGAATTCATGTTTTCCCTATATCGCCATTTTCCCTGGGGAAACCGATTTTGCTCGTGGGTGTACACTCGTACAACGCAGCGTGTTCGTTCGCAGAGCTAACGCGAGCAATTAGTTTTTCCAAGTATCATTTTTAAATAGATCTGACGCGACGTTTCAGTGATTAAACGAAACAATTGTACCTTTCGAGAACAACGTCCACCTCCTGTACCGCTATTTTAAGAGAATTTTAATTGAAAGCGCGCCTCGAAGGTGCGCGGCGATTATGTCGTCCAACTGGTGACTTCGGAATGATTAAGGTCGTTAAAACAATCCTTGCGTTGGCATCGAATCGAAAATCAAAACGTAGGAAAAATATCATTCGTTTTTCATTATGTACATTTTTCACACGATCTCACATTTCAAATTCTGTAAAATTAATTTCGAATTTAATGTCGCGGAATTATTCAATCGAGGGAATGCTGGGAAAAGTATCATTTGGAAGATGAAAATTTCGTTTTCTAAGTTCGTCTAAGAAATTGCCAACGCGAAGGAAATACCGTGTCGAATCTTTTAGTTTAACGCACCGATTGAATAATCGATTTCATGGATACGATTATTTGCTTTCACCTACTTAGGTCAGGGCAGGTTCCTCGCGAGTTTAAATCAATTATAAGCGGTCAGGATTTTTAACCGCAGCGGAGGTTCTTCTTCAAACGAAAGACAGATACGCGGAAGCTTGTTTTCTGTTCAACGAAATTCTCTCGGGACAATTAATCAAGGTGTAGCAGTTCATTTAGCGTATCCGACGAATAGTTTTTTCTTACTATTTATTTATTTATACCATTTATATGTACGGTCAGTCATAAACGTTCATAAGCCAAAGAGGCGGAGCTAGTAAAAAGAAGAAATATTACGTGTAAAGTTTCTTTTAGAGCGATTAATGATATTATCGGTTGCTATAGTTGCTACTTATCGACTTACGTAATTAATTATTATCATCCTTAATTTGTCGACTTAGCCAAAAAGATTCTTGTCGAGCGTCTTCGTTAAATAATTCATTCGTCACGTTTGTTCATTGATATTTTTTCATTTGAAGCGTGCGCGCGCGTTCGAAATTGTTGGAATGCGCCGAGTCTGTCGAAGTGAAAGACGAAAAATTTTTTGTAAATTGTATAAAAGGTAGCAAAAGTTGTAAAAGGAACGCGTGAAATGTGCGGAAATAAAATTTTTGTGAAGAACTAACAGTCTTATGTCTATCTCCTAATAAATTACACATCTGTATACAGGGTGTTCGGCAACAAGTGGGCAAAATTTTAAGGGGTGTTTCTAGGGATCAAAATAAGACGAAAATCAAGAATAACCAAATAGCGTTTGCGGCTTTGTTTTCCAGTAATTAACGTTTAAAAATTCGAGTAAAAAGCGCCTGAAACCTGTAATCCGCCCAGCACCGACGACTGAACGTCAGGTCAGCAGGGATCGGTACAGTCATAACCAAGAATCGTTGAATAGTAGAAACTTACCTCGTGCTATTATGTTTCTCGATACTGCAGCATTCGGCTTCGATTCTTGATTATGACTGTACCTTCCCCTGCTGACCTGACGTTCAGTCGTCGGTGCTGGGCGGATTGCAGGTTTCAGGCGCTTTTCACTCGAATTTTTAAACGTTAATTACTGGAAAACACAGCCGCAAACACTATTTGGTTATTCTTGATTTTCGTCTTATTTTGATCCCTAGAATCACCCCTTAAAATTTTGCCCACCTGTTGTCGAACACCCTGTATAAGAGTAATATATGCAGTAGTAAAATATTTTTATGTAGTTTCAAATGACACATTAAGTCCTTAAAAATGAATGCTATTTTGCTTTTATTATGAATTGAACGTGATTTTTTGATGCGTGCCAATTTTGAGTATCCTATAAGTGCTTTTAACCCTCGGACGCACACCATACTCACTAAAATTACTATCGGATTAGTATGGGGTTCACACTTAGGAACAGAATAGCACGCGGTGAGCTTCTAGTATTTGATGACTATTACCTATACTGACTCAAAAGATAAGACCGAGAATTTGGTGACAGACTTTTTATCATACGTCACTGAAAACTTTTAGGCTCGGATTTGGTTTAGGCTTTAGACATAGGTTTCCCACAAATGAAAACAAAGTTTGCTAAAAGTATTTTTGGTAATCCGCAAATTAAAACTCAAAATTTTGCGAAAAGCTTTTTACTACAGCAATGTCACTCACTGTATTAACGACATGTCTGTTTAACGACTATTCAAAATGCGATATAATGTTTAAATAAATATAAGTGGCTTAAATTTACAATTTTATTTATAACAAGGTGTTCAATATCACGATATAAGAAACCGTTTATTTCAACTTCTCCGGTATGGTCTAGTGGCTAGGATACCTGGCTTTCACCCAGGAGGCTCGGGTTCGATTCCCGGTACCGGAAAATTATTTTTTCAATTTTTTTACTTCGTCATAATCAATTTTCATTTCCTAATACTCATTTGTATAAAAAACAAAAACAATATTGTTTTTTCATTGCAGCTGTAGTATTTATACAAAACAGCTATTCAAGGGACTAAGTAAGTATTTAAAGTATTTTTGAGAACTTTTTGAAGCACACCATCAAATTAAATGAATTTTGTTTTATTCTACATAAAATGTAGCTACTGAAAATCATATTTAAAAATTTTATAGATATAATTTAATACCGATATGATTTTTCAACATAAACATCTCTAAACAATTACTATGGTGTTGATAGCAAATTAGTGATACGGTTCAATGAAAATCAACAAACTAAAGAAATTTAGAAATTTTATATGGATAGTTATTACATTACTCATAAGGAAAGATAAAATAATAAATAAAAGGAGTGGTCGGCCGAGGCTTAGAAGAGAAATAAAATCATAAATTTTATTCCTCTTTGATGGACTTGTGAATAAGCGTAAAAAATAAATAAAGTAAATTAAATAAACTCCGAAGGGAAATTATTATTATACTGCTTATGCCCTCTTCGTACGGACCTGATTTCATACTGGGGTGTCAGGGACCCCGTTGCGCCAATGACGCCATCTGAATACCGACACGATAATCATTCTGGGGTGTTAGGGACCCTGAAGCACAGGTAATACTGCATACCAACATTATGGCATCCGGGGTTTCAGGGACCCCGGTGTATAGGTAGCACTCTCTGCATATCGACATATCATTCTGGGGTGTTAGGGACCCCGTAGCACAGGTAATACTGCATACCAACATTATGGCATCCGGGGTTTCAGGGACCCCGGTGCATAGGTAGCACTCTCTGCATACTGACAAATCATTCTAGGGTGTTAGGGACCCCGAAGCACCGGTAACACTCTTTGCATACCGACAATTTCGTTTTGCAAATTCAGTCGGTAAGCTATTGAGTGGTTTCTACCATCTTTGTATAGATGGAGGGAGAATCGAATTTTAAAAACAATTTAATTTATGGCGGTCTTTTTAAAACACAGGTCTGTCAAACAATTACTTTAATAATTTTTCGGTCTTTTGCTGATTTTGTCTGACTTTTAAAAAATAAAATCAGAAAGAGTAAAAATTGGGTCTTGTCAAATGTCCCCTCGAAAACAAAAGCAGTCCAGTCTTGTTGGATCTGTACTTACTGCTGATAGTGTATTACGAATTCTCTGTACATTCAGATCTAATCTAACCGGGGGGGTATCTGGGATCAACTAAATGATGACTCCTCCAGAACGAAAACATGTCTGGTCTTATTATCTCTAGTCATTACCGATAGAAAGAGAAACTGTAGCGACCTCTAGTTCGGTCGGTAAACCCCGCCGGAGAGTACACTTCCGGTGAAGTTTTCCCTCCAAAAGTCGAGCGCTATATGTTTCCGGCGTGGGTGAAATTTTTCCATGATAGCAGAAAAGCTTGCTATAAGGGCCGCCGAAGCGTGCACTCGGTCGCGAATGTGTACTTATAGTCAGAGGTGTGAAATTTTGTATTTTTATATATTTCTAATAATTGTTAATCGTGAATTATAGTTTAAGGGGCTGAACTTTAGCAAATCCGCTAAAAATGTCAAACTTTACACGCTTATAACTTTTTAACCACTGGATTCCTAAAGTTAAGACTTGCATTTTCAGATTCTACGCATCAAAAACTATGGATTAAAAAGAAAATATCGAAAATTTTGGGTCCGGTAAAGTAAAGTTTACCCAACATTTAAACCTATTGGGTGTATACATATATATCATTTTCCTCCGTGGGTAAAACAGTACGTGAGCATGATAGGATCACATACGCTATAAAACCACACGCGGCACACGCCACACGCTATCTTTCGTGTTATTATAGAAACTATACTCCCTATATATTTACATACAATTTTGTGTTTACCTGAATTGTATAAACAAAGTATGAAAACCATTCATGGGTTTATAAGCAATTCTAACATTGTACTTGACGGAATATAGACAAGGTAAGCAAATTTTTACTCTCCTATATTAACTATTAGAGAATCGTGCCAGGTTCGTTGGACCCATGTGTTTGAAGCGTTACCAAACGTTTCGGGTTATGATGATTATTTTATGTAATGTTTTAGTTAAGGAAAGCACTTTTGCAATCATTACAAGATGCCAGAACCGTTGCCATCGAAACAAAATAATCGTTCAAGGAGTTCAGCTAATGAAAATTCTGAACCTGGGTTTCACTCTAGAAAACGGAAACATTCTGTTACAGACAAAAATGATGTAGTACCAAAGAGATTGTGTGAAGATTCAGAATTGTTGAGTGATTTACAAGATGAGTTTAGACAAGATTCACCTGATGAATTCCATAATTCTTGTCAAAATGATCAATACAGGAATAATATTCCTGATACTTTGATTAGACTTATGTATCAATTGGACTTGTCAGTGCTTTGTACGCTTAGAAAGTCTGCACATGAACACAAATATGCCTCAACCTCCTTAGCATTTGGAGATTCTGAGATTGACAAATTTAGTGATATTGTTCTTCGTTATGAAGAGAAATCCATTCATCTACACATTGAAACTGTAGACAAATATTATGTAGATAACGATATTGGGTATGCTGGATTGTTCACCAAAGAAAAAGAAAAAAGAAGATTTTATATAAATGATTACTTTGATAGCTTTGTTAAATATCTAATGTCTAAATTAGATGGTTCATTGAATAATATAGAATATCTTATTATCTATACCAATTCAGGTTTGGATCTTACAGAAGAGAAGAAATTAAAACGAGGACGATCCAGAAATTTTTATCCTATTAAATTTGATAATATGAATATGAAGGAACACTATATTTTAAAAAATTTCTTTTTTATAAAGGATAGTGTGCGAGAGCGTGGTTTTTATCAGTTTTCACGAGATAAGATAATAAGAGAAGAACTCTTAAAGCGATTAGAATTCTCAGCTGCTATGCAAAAAGCAATAGCAAAAAGAACACCTTGTCAAGGTTTTGAAAGAAAGATAAAAGAAGCATTTTTGGATAAATTAGTATTTGCAGTAAATCAGCCTAATAGAGAAGAGTTGAACAGCCTTATTAGAAATAAAATGAAAAAAAACAGTGAAATTGAAGATAATTATAAAACATTACAAAAAAGAATATTACGTACTTTGGCAGTTCCAGGAAAACATAAAAAAATTAGAAATTATGTATCTAGGATTGTATATGAATTCAGTTTATTAATGTCCTTCTTGCATGACATGTTTTTGCACAAAAATATGTTTTCCATAAATTTTGAAGGGCAGAGCCCTGATATATCTAACGACATCATCATCAATTATAGAAATAGAATTACTTATGTGAAAGCTCATGATGCAGATAGGGATATTGACTATAGTAAATTGTTTCCCTCTAAACAGGAAGAAGAGAATACGTTTTCTATTAATAAACATTTTGCACTTTTTGTTGAAGAGTTACAGCATGGTATAAGATATTTTATTATCTACACTAATGCCAATCTAATGCTTACAGAAGAAAAGACATTAAAAAATGGGAAACCCGAAGATTTTTATCCTTTAAAATTTGATGACATAGATATTCAAAAGAAAAGATATAAAATTTTAAGAAATTGTACCTGTATAAATGGGAATGATCTTTATAAATTTTCACAAGAAGAAACAACAAGAGAAAATGTTCTAAATCTACTAAAGCTTCCACCTTTTCTGCAAAAAGAAAAGGAAGAAGGATGTCTTTCCGATGAGAATGAAAAGGAAATAAAAGTTAAATTTTTGGATAGACTAATATTTGCAGTTAATCAATATGATAAGAAAAAATTGAAAAGTGTTATTAGGAATGAGGTGAATAAGTTTGATGTTCCATATAATCATGAAGAATTACGTGAAATAACGTTACGTTGGTTAGAGTCTCATGAATTTGGTCATATTACAAAGGGAATGATGGAAAAACTTTTAGAAGATATAAAAAATAATAGATCTAGTTATCAGAAGACTCAGAATAGAGATATTAATGAAGAAATTAATTTTGCTAAAAGTGTTGTTGGTAGACAAGGAACACCTACATTTCATCAGTTTTTAAATTATCTAATTAAAGGAGAAGGAAAAAGAAATCTAGAAATTCTGAAAACAAACAGAATAGATCTCACTAGCATGTCCAGTATTTTGAACAGATCAGGAGGCACTGCTATACATGCTTTTAAAGGACTGTATAATCTTTGGTTTGATGAAAAAGAAAATAAAACACGATACCTGCAAACTCTAGAAAGAGTGGGAGTAAATCTAGCTACTATGTCCAGTATTTTGAATGGAGCAGCAAATTGTGCTGTGAGTGCTTTCAAAGGATTATATGATCTTTGGTTTAATAAAGAAGGGAGTAAAACACAATATTTAAAGACTCTAGAAAAAGAAGGATTAAAACTAACTAACATGTCCAGTATTTTAAACAGAGCTGGAATTACAGCTCCTACAGCTTTTAAAGATTTATATGACCTTTGGTTCGATCAGGAAGGAAATAAAACACAATATTTAACAACTCTGGAGAAAGAAGGAATAAATTTGGTTACTATGTCCAGTATTTTAAGTGGAGCAGGAAGTAAAGCGTCCACTTCATTTAAGGACTTATATGACCTCTGGTTCGATGAAAAAGGAAATAAAACACAATATTTAAAGACTGTAGAAAAAGAGGGAATTAATTTGGCTAATATGTCGAGTATATTAAATGGGGCAGGAGTTAAAGCTCCTATAGCTTTTAAACAGTTATATGATCTATGGTTTGATGCAGAAGGGAATAAAACTCACTATTTAAAAACTCTAGAGAAGGAAGGAGTTAATCTGGCTAATATGTCTGGTATTTTAAGTAGAGCAGCAGCTAATGCTTCAAAAGCTTTTAAAGGATTATATGATTTGTGGTTCGATGTAGAAGGAAATAAAACGCAATATTTAAGAACTCTAGAAAAAGAAGGAATAAACGTGGTCAGTATATCTAGTATTTTGCATGGAGCAGCAGGTAATGCGATAAAAGCTTTTGAGGAATTATATAACACTTTTTTTGATGAACAAGGAAATAAAAAACAACATTTAAAACACTTTCTCGAAGGAGAAGATGAAAAAAACAGTTTTACACTGGCTAATCTGTCTAGTATATTAAATGGAGCAGGGGCTAATCCTCAAGATGCTTTTGAAAAATTACATAGTGCTTGTTTCAATAAGGAAGGAAAGAGAAAAAAGCTTTTAGATGATTTTTATAATGCAAATTTTAAAGCGAGTCATATATCTTGTATGTTATGTGGATCAGGCGTCCGTGCTTCCGCTGTTATAAAAAAATTCCATAGTGTTTATTTCGATCCCAAAGGGAAACGATCAAAACTTCTGGTTGATTTCTATGAGATTGGTTTTACGCCCGGTGATTTATGCAATATATTGAGCGGAGCGGTAGACAATTTAGAAAAGTTTCACAACTTTTGTTTTGTAGCAGAAACTAAAAAGTATTTAAATAATTTCTTAAATGAGGAAGGTTTTACGGTGAGTGGTTTATGTAACATATTGCACGGAGCAAGAGGTAATGTTTGTCCTGCTTTGAAAGAACTTTCTACTGTTTGTTTTGATGAGACAGGAAACAAAACACAGCTTTTAAATGATTTCTATAAGGCAGGTTTCACACCTAATGATTTAATCCGTATACTGTCTATGACAGGAAATAATGCTGCTTCTGTTTTGAGAAATTTTCACAAGTCTTGTTTTAACGAGAAAAATTATTTGAATCACTTTTTAGTTAAAAGAAGACTTTTTACGTTGAAAGATTTATGCGATATATTACACGGAGCAGGAATTAATACTTCTAGTGTTTTTGAAAAATTACATGATCTTTGTTTTGATGAGACAGGAAAAAAAACAAAATATTTCAAGAATCTTATGAAATATGATGGAGATCAAGCGTTTGATGTATTATATGAGAAAGTTAGGAAAGCTCCTTATAAGGGTTTGTTATTATCTAAATAACAAAACAGGAATGTAAATACCTCTTTAAAAAGTAAAGGGTTAAAAGTGACCTTACATAACATACCATGTTAAATAAATGTGCATTAAAGACTGATTTAAACCTTTGTTTAAATCTATTATACTAATCTGTAAATACAAATTTCCATTTGTAATATATTTTCTATAATAAAAATATTCTCGTTACCAAGGTAATGAATAAACAACGATTACAATCGATTTAATAAACCGCCTTCCAACTTTCACCTTTCATCCCCTTCCGAAAGCGAGTTCAGTGAAGAAAATTCATCACTCTGGACCATGGCTGATTTAGCAAAGAGTTTATTAACCCAATATTACGGTCTTGGTACAGGATCAAACGGCAAAAGATTTTTATCTATTCATCAAAGTGTTGAAAATATAAAACGCGATGAAGAAAAACAGGTTACCGAGCAAACCTCTTCAACGATCGAGGAAAAGTCTTCTGACGAAGAATCTCAGGTAGAAAGTCTTCAACCTTTATTCCCTAATTATCTGTATAACCTTTATTTAATTTCCTAAAATATGTATCACTAGAACGACAATAATGAATGTCGAAAACTCAGCGTTGCAAATAATTCGTATCCTCGTTCATCCGAAGTTTATGATGACATAGAGAACGCATATGATTTCGATGAAAATCTCGATGATTTTGGATCAAATATGGACGATTTTGCTGAAAATACGCAGTCTTCTATTACAAATGATCAATCATCAAACGCTATTAAAGAAACAGTTGAAGATTCAGGTGAAGACAAATTAATTAAATCTTACGATGTACAGGGCCGGTCCTGGGCCTAGGCAGACTAGACAGCCGCCTAGGGCCCCCCCAAGGTCCAGGGACCCCATAAGACGATTTTGCATCTAAGAATACAAGAAGAGTAATGTTTACTTGAATATTAATCGATGTAAATGCAAATCTAAATTAGTTATACAAACTTTAATGTTAATTTTATAAATTTTATTTGAGGTACTTTTTTATGTCATATACAGGGTGTTGAACACCAGGTGGGCAAAATTTTAAGAGGTGATTCTAGGGATCAAAATAAGACGAAAATCAAGAATAACGAAATAGCATTTGCGGCTTTGTTTTCCAGTAATTAACGTTTAAAAAATCGATTAAAAAGCGCCTAAAACCTGCAACCCACCCAGCACCGACGACTGAACGTCAGGTCAGCAGGGGTCGGTACAGTCATACTATTCAACGATACTTGGTTACGACTGTACCTTCCCCTGCTGACCTGACGTTCAGTCGTCGGTGCTGGGCGGATTGCAGGTTTCAGGCGCTTTTTACTCGAATTTTTAAACGTTAAACTGGAAAACAAAGCCGCAAACGCTATTTCGTTATTCTTGATTTTCGTCTTATTTTGATCCCTAGAATCACCCCTTAAAATTTTGCCCACCTGTTGTCGAACACCCTGTATAAAGGGGCCCTTTAACGGAGCTCGCCTCGGACCCCCGAAATTTAAGGGCTGGCCCTGATGATGTACAAACATTGTTACTGAAAATCTAGTTTAAACTATTTCTATTGCAGAAGTGAATGATTCAAAAAATACAAATGAAAATGATATGAGTCTAACATTTATCGAGGACGCTTTTCCGGACAGTGGTTCAGATACTTCCACTACACTAAACAAATCGGAGAAATCTTCGCTAACTGATACAAATCTGCCAGTACCTAAGAAAGAGCCAATATGTAATCAAACATTTGTAGATTTCTCTGACACTGAATTAACACAATTTCCAAGTGAAATATTAATAAAATTTCCATACATAAGGGTATCTTACCTTTCCAAGTAATCTTGCTAAAATATTATCAAGATTCATGATTGTTTTTTGGTTATTATTAAAATTGTATTATTGTTTATAGATGTTATACGTGGCAGATAACAATTTGACCGAACTGCCAGCTGATATTTTTACCTCCTTGAGATATCTTGAATGGTTGGACGCGAGGAACAATAGGCTTACCTCTCTACCGGCTACCATTAAATTCCATACGTGCTTAGAAACTCTCCTGCTTCAGAGAAACAAAATTGAAAATTTACCGTTAGAACTTTGTAAGCTAATAATTAAATATACGACTCTACAAGACATAATTCTTTCAAGTACAGACGACAATTTCGATGCAAACAAATTTTTCACGCAAAAACGAGCCTGGTGGCCGGCCAAAAACTGTTAATCTCGTAATATTTCAGGCACTTTGCCAAAACTGAAAACCCTTCAGGTGGCACAGAATCCACTTATCACGCCCCCGCAAGATATCGTGGCTTCAGGTTATTCGGCTATTCTTGAATTTTTGCGGATCGAATGGAACAATGCCCACCCTGAAGAGCGAGTTGAGTTCAAGGAAAGTGAGTGGCTGAATTTTTGCTCTTGATCCAGGAAAATAAATTTTTAAATAAAAATTATACCATTTTTCAGACAAAATTGAGCCGAAACTGTCGACGATTCTTTGCTATCAGTCTCCTCGAAGAAATAAAAAGAAAATTGTGCCACTAAAAAGTGCAGTACGTAACAGAGATCCCTCTACCATAGAGAAACGCAAATCTTACAAGCCTAGTAGCAGGTACTACGACGAGAAAGTATTTTCAATCAATAATTGTCTCCCAAAGATAACTGGTGTAACAATTAACAAAAGAACAAAGCGCACTTTTTTAAAACCTTCAGAAAATTTTCAGAATAAGATTGATATTCCAATCAACGACGAAATGGATGAGATTAATAATAAAGTTCTGCGTTTAATGGGTCCTTCACCCAGATCGCTTTATGTGAGAAATAATGTAAAAATTTTGAAAACTTATCAAAGGTCCTTGAAAAGAGAATGTAGGAACACTGATGGGTTTGATCAATCTGATCCTATAAAAGTAGAGAATAAGATTTCCTTTAGAGAGAATAAAAAATATAAGAATAATGTAAAGAATGTAGAAAGTGTTTTTGATATTGTTACAAAAGATGGAAAGAGATTTAAATTGAATCCAATGAAATTGAACGATTCAGACTGGATGTTGTCGTGTCTGGAAAATTATGTAGGAATAAATAAGTAGCTCGATTGTTTATATAATTAAAATCGTTTAAAGATTTGTTAGAAATAAAAATGTTGAATATTCTATAGTCTATAGATAATAATCTTGTAAATTAGAGAAATATTATGTATTTAATTAAACATTTTTTTTCCTGTAATTCAGGTGTGAAAATAAAGGCGCAAATATTTCAATGGAATATCGTTCGCTTTTGTTTTCCAAAATAAAAGAATGGTTTGATAAACAAACGTTAATACTACAAAAAGTAAAGTAAGAACAAATAATTCTATCTTTTTTTTACAAGTTATGTAAAATATACTAATGTATATAAATAATGATAGGGATGAAAATGTTTTAAAAAAATGGAGGAGAGATAAGAGAAGTTTTAGTATTTCCATGGAAAAGGCGATGAAAAGAAGTGAAGGTATTTTAACAAAATTTCAAGTTGAAAAATTTAACTTATTGTTAAATAAATTTTCATAGATGATATTCCGTTTGGATTTGATCTGGAAGATTATGCACCCATATTTAGGCATAATTTAAAATCGGTGAGAATTATTTTCATCATCTTATCTTTAGTTTACGTATCATATTTTTAATTTATTTGGATTGATTGAAATTATAGAATAATCAAAGGGGATCAAAGATAAAAAGGAAACAAAAATTCGTTCCACCAACGTGAGTAAAAATTGTTTGGTTTTGAGTGAAAAATTATTCAATTGAAACATTAATTCTTTGCAGGGATATTAACAAGAAAATTAACGAATTGTTGAAATCTTTAAACGAACTTGAAGTTAAAGATGCACATATAACCTCGCCAAGAACTAAACAAAATTTGTTTAAAAATGAAATAGAAAAGGTATACACCACTTTGTTTTCATCTGATGAAAACAAGATACTAATTGCAGGGAAAGAGTATGTTTGATAAATCACTTTCTGTTTAAAATTCCAGATACTACAATTCCAAAATGAAATCCAGAACTTGAGAAAATATAATGACGTCGCAACAGTGCCACTGAAAAAATTAAATAAATTGCAATGATATGAATATCACCCTTCATTACAATTATTTTAATTACACCAGAAATATCAGTCTTGGCATATTTATTTAAATAAATCAGTAGTAATCACATATCGCTTCGTAGTGTTAATTACACATACATTACTTACAAATGCACAACGAGAGAACTGGAAATATTATTGTACGTTTGTTATCACCTTCAAAAGATTAGAAAGAATAATCATATATATTTTAAAAATCAATGCATGTAAATTTGTATCAATATACTTTGTGTGAACAAAGAAACAAAATACATGGTCTTAATAAGCCTGTAACGTGACTTTATAAAAAAAAGAAGGAACCAGTAATTAAAAGAAAAAAATGTTTATTTTCCAGCCTTCTCATCAAACGCACCTTCGTCGCATCAATTCAATCGTCGTAAAAATCAACAGCGAGTATAAAAATTCTATAAAGTGGAGATCCGAATTAAAATAGATCTCAGTTACAGATAGAGGCGATTCTTACGACGATCGAATCTTCCTTTTGTACATGACAATTGCATCGAATCCTAGCACGACACTCTGACCCTTAATTAGGATCAAAAATCACACCTCAGTCTGTGATACAACTGTTTCGTGGTAGTACTAATCAATAGCAATTATAAGGCAGATATCTAAGATTTTTATATTTATTTTCTTTCCTTTCGTATATGCGTGTATGTTCATGTGTATATTCTTATCGTTATTTACTTTCTATTTCAGCTCTGTACATTTGATACACTGTCGTACAAAAGACGGTACGAACAACTAACGATAGCAATTGTTTACTATATGTTACTGTTTCTTATACATATTTTTCCCTTACAAAGATTTTGCATATTTTGCGTTTCGATTATTGACGATGAAGCAAACTAAAATAAACAATCGTATAAAACGTAACTGTATCATTTAACGTTTGTTATCGCGACGGAACAGAAATGTTCGTTTCTGTTGGATAGTACATACATAAGTGTGTTAACGAAATTAAAAAATATTATCTAAACAATTGTAGGCGTATCACATTTCACTGCATTACATACACGCGTAGAGTCGATTCAACATCATTAATAATACCGATATTTGTGTTATTAAGAACAATATTAGTCGAGGACGATACATTAAACATAAAAAAGGCCTTACAATAGGCATATTAAATATCAGTTATATTCATGTTCGAAGTGAAAATTTTGCTACTGGGCAGTAAAGTACCTATGGAATAGGTATGGTTTTCATAAAAACGTGGATTTGAGATTAAAACTAGACCTTGTTAGTCGCTTTTCTTTTCGTATAGTATTTTTCACGAGAGAATAGTACCATTTCGCGCAGCTCGACTAAATAGAAAATTCCCCCACCGTAATTTACTTCCCATTGCTTCCGCCATATACACGGTGGACAAAATATACTAATGTAGGAACGGCTTATACATAGGACAGAGGTAGTGAATCATAATTCACAAGGTTATGATCACCGGATATACTTTCTGCCCAGCGTGGCTTACAGCCGTACGGCGCTTGCGCGTTACCTTGGTAACGGAGCGTAGCAGAACCAATCAGAGCCAACATGCGCAAACAAAACCAAAATTCGTTCATCCGATGGTACTATTCTCTCGTGAAAAATACTATTGCTTGAGAAAACATTTCGAACGAACGGAATTCCTCTTGTATCTTCCGTTGTTCACATGTGTTCGATAAGAAAATATTATTCAGTGGTTTAAAAAGCTTCAATAATTCATTAATTGAACACACATACTGGTATTTTTTCCTCGTACATCATACATGTTATATATATACATTTTCGTTTTAAGAAAACTTTCTAGTTAAGATACAAGCATACCGGATATACTAAAATCCCATAGCGTTGTACACACAAACATAAATATTCATAAAATTAACAGATTCTTCCTTTTCCTCTGTTTCGTTTACTGTTTACCTCTGTTAATCCTTACTATTGCACATTGTACATTTTCTTTCACATTCTCTCCGCTTAATGATGCAGATATCACTGTAACTTAACTCGTACCGTATATACACTGTATGCACGCATATATCGTTAAACACATTTGGGTGATACTGCAGTGGGTGATCAAATTATTAGAGCTACTCGCATAAATTGATGATTTTACAGAAATATCATTAATTAAATGAAAACCGAGTTAAACGGAGTTTTTATTATTTTTTTTTGATGTATTGATACTTGTAAAATTATGATATATAGTTGAAAAAAAAGTGAAAGTTCTTGACTGGCCTAGAAATTCTTCGGACCTCAACCCCATCGAAAATTTGTGGAAATATTATTAGTAATAAATGTCAATTGATTGAACGATTGATAGAAGTATGGGCTAGAAATAAAGCAATCAAAATGAATTGCTTAAAATGCATCGAAGTATGCCGAAATGAATTGAGGCAGTAATTGCAGCAAAAGGCGGCGTTACGAAATACTAACATTATTTTTATAAGTATTTTTTTGTATATTAATAGCGGAGAATTATTGATTAAAAATTACATAATGTAAAAACCTTAAAATTGTGGCTCTATTTCTACACAAACACGATAAACCCATTTTTCATACCATGGCTCGAATAATTTGATCACCCATTGTATATGATATAAGAAGGCAGATATCTTATAGGACAGCTTCTCAGAACGGAAGTCATTAAAGATAGTATAATGCAAAGTCTGCCTGTATTTTTTTCTCTCCTCGTTGAGAAGTCAAGAAACCACCTTCTGTCCACTGTACAAAAATATACAATGGACAGAAAGCATTCTGGCCTTTCTTTTTTTTCTTAGAAATAAACATACTTCTATGCCACTTGAACTTAATTCTTAGGCCACAGAAGCCTTCTTCGATGATGGTCCAAGTAAATACACTTTGTTCACAAATATCACTGGTGTACTCACTCTTTGTTAGAAACTTCTGCACATAGTCTTGATGCCAGGATATTCCTCGTGTGCTGGATTCAAATCGACAAAACCAAGCTTACTGTAAAACTCGTGAGACTCTTTATCAGTGATTGACATTGTAGTGTGTACGCCAAAGGAACCTGAAGAAACGAATAAAAATTCAGATCATCTTTTAAATAATTAACAATTTTGAAAGACTTACCATTTGCTCTCAAAGCGGCAAGTATACAAGTAATTAATCTTTTAGGGACAGATTGGTCCATAACATTTGGCAACACAGCGCAATACAGCTTCGACGGATGTTGCCTGCACAATTGTTCAGGTACATCCGGTACGAACGAATGGAAATATCGTATGGAGTCCTACAAAAAATTTCAAACATTAGCAGATTACAAACGTGCAATGAAATAATTTAAAACACAAGTACCTGAATATCCTGTGGTAAATCATTTATATTGTCATCTAACGGATACTTCATCCGCAATTCAGGAATCCAAGAAACTGCTAATTTCTGATAATGAGATTTTACATTTAAGGCAGCTAGTGCATAACCTACCACACCGCTCTCATCTTCAACAATCATACACAGTTCCGGACTCAAAGTTAAGAAACCTCCAACTAATCTGAAATTGAAAATTCAACAATGACAATTAACTATATAAATGAAATATTCACTTCTGAACAGGATTCTTCTTTCTCACCTATCTGCAACTGCAGAAGATGCCATACAGCCACATACTTTATTGCATACAGAATACACTGCGTGTTCATCGCTTGTTAAGTAAGGCCTAATCGTATAGATTTTACTAGTGGGCACTTCTGGTGCTTTGTAAACAAATAAATCATTACCACTGTCCACTGGAATTAATCTCTGCGAAATAACATTTTACATTGTTTTTTGTTTTCAACTTACTTTTACTATAAAAGAAATGTTGCGTATAAACACACCTGTAGATCAGCTGTAAGACCTCCACGGAACACCCATGGTTCTTGTTCTCCGCTCATAAAAGTTTCTTTCCAGCCATTCGAGAACCCTATCCCAAAACACAGTATACAGCCTTAATAAACGACGAAATACGAAAAGTTGTGTACGCGCGCGATTATGCAGTTTGTAAAATTTATTAAATGGCCACCACTGCTCTGAACACTAATTTGGCTTAAATTTGTAACATGCATAAATACACTTCGATTGATGGTGCTTCAATTATCCTCATCTCGTTCAACTATCAAATTCCTTATATCATTTATACAGATGAGAATATCGTATTACCAGATAAAGAAATCCATCGATCGAAAAAGAAACTACGGTGCATCATTTCATTAACGAATAAAACTATTTAAACTAATCACTCATACGTATACAGAATGATTGTTAAATAAAAGCAAATCAAAATATCAGAAAATGTTTCTCATCAAAGATAATAATAATACAATAGACTGAACCAATTATGATAAAAAATTATAATGGAAATTGATTTGAAAAAATGTTGCACATAAGTTCGCGCAATAAGACTGCTGAGATAGTGGAAAGGATGGGATTGATGGAATGGTAATCCAGTTTGCCAAAATGCGCCTGAAATAAAACTCCTATTACTCCTGAAAAGAATACAGTTTCTGGAACTAAAAGAAATTAGTACAGGCAAGTTGGCAAAAGGAGGTTGTATCATTGGTCATCCACAATCTACAAAAGATGCTTTCAAAAAACAGTTTTAGGATACATACTTCTTTCACATAACTAATAAATTATATAATATAAGATAAGCGTACAGGATACAACTTCTGTTAGTTGTGTTTGACCAGTATAATATTTAGGATAAGCGCTTCACATTTTAAAAGATTGTTTTAACTTTGCCAATTTTGTCAAAACTGTGGATGGACATACTTTGCGTGCAAAAATTATTAAAGTCACTTATGTTTATTTTCAATAATGCGAATAATTAAATGAAATACAATTAGAAATAAATTACACGAAACAAAATAAAAATCAGTGTATTTAAAATTTTTGTAAAATAAAAAAGTATGTCCATCTCTTTTCTACGCGCCAATCTTTTGCTTATGTTCATTATAATAGTTTTCCACAAAGCTTCAAACGTAATTTGAAATAATCACACTTTCGCTGGTTTGAAGCTTTGTTAGTCGCGCGCTTTTTGTTGGATTACTCAGTCTGGTGAATATCGCATACATGTGTAGCTTCCCTGGGTAAACGTAGTCATCGTCGACGGGAATCTGCCAAACGCTATCAACAAGACAGAAAACACAGAAATGCACGTTAGTCAATGAATTGAAGCTGTATTGTTCCTCATACACTTATACTTCTGGCAAAAATTATTCGCTGCAAATATGATCCCCTTTCTTTCCAACATTATATTTTTACCTATACACATTATCAAAATAATTGTATGCTTTGGATGCAACGAATACATTTCTGCCAAACATTGTCTGTGAAAGAAAGTCAACCAATATGTTAATAGCTGGCACAAGGTTATTTAAAACGTAATATTTGTTCAGGTCCACATAGATGCTGTTAAATACTTTCCCAGAAAGTGTCTGCTACACAAAATTTGTTCGCTGACTATTGCGTTAGAAAGCCACATCAATTCCCCTTATTCTCATTATGTAAATTACATAAATTGAATATACACATGTACGTATTAACATAGTTTCTTGGAAAAAAGTACAAATTATTGTTAGAGAATATCAATTAAAACAAAATGAAAATGAGAAATGCTGTGACATTCTTTATTCACTACTAGAATTATAAATAGGAAGCCGTTAGTCGACAAATAAGAAAATCATTTTCTAAAGAATAGTATACATTAAAAAATAAAGAGGTTTCATTGATTAATTCAATCTCGTGAATGACTTATTGTGTTTCAGTTTTGTGCAATTGTTTAATGCAATTATGGTTTGTAGTTTCAAGAATCAAATATTTGTAATTGCATTTGTTAATGAGAAAAATTGATTTAATGTATATTTTTTGATCTACTCTAATATTGACTTACGGCAACCCTACTGGTTCATTTTCGCGCGCCACATAGTACATTTGATTCTAAAGCGCAGAAACAAATGTACATACGCAATTTCATAGATATGCGATTTATGAAATTTTTTAATTCCATCTATTACTGATGTATGTTCATAGGCTAATGATTATAAAATTATTGAAGTATTTAAATCAACATTTATTCATAGCTACTATAAAGTAATATTTTTCTACATTTTGTTTTACTTTAATATCACTATTACACCAATAATGATTTTGAACTTTTTATGTTTTTGAAAGTATTTGTGAAATACTTGTGAAGCATTTATAGTAGTACATAGTATTAATTTTTATATATATTACATATGTAATTAAATTAACAAATTTAATGGATTTACAAGTTAACAAAACATCAGTAAATTTTGGAATTAGTAATTTGTTTTTTAAATGTTGTTGTATGTCATTTTACAAGGAAGTGTATGTAGTGTGATATATAATGTAAATTATTAAATGAATTAAAAAAATAATGCTGCTCAGTACTATTTTAGTATATTAAAATTTATTGAAATTTTGAAAATCATAAATTTTCGTTAGTGGCGATGAAACATACATTTCATATTCAAAAACACATCTTTCTTGTAAAAAGACAAAATCAGTGGATTAAAAAAAACGAATAGAATATTACACTTACCAATACTCGAGACACTTTTGTTCTGAAATATAAGTATAGGCAATAAATTATAGAACTTCTGAGAAAAATGGATAACAGCACTCATCTGTATCACAACAAATACAACTTTCTACTTGACACGACAGTATAAAAATTAAATAAAAAATAAAAATCAGTAATATTTTTGAACGTTTTATGTATTGCAGTAACACGAATAATTTTTTTACTGTGATCATTGTACCAGCATACTAGCATTTTGAATGAACTTTCTTTGTATATTTTACATTACTATTTTTACTTTTACTTTAATAATACTTAAGAAACACTATGCTTACTGTGATGATCTAAATAATTTCAATACAATTTTCTACATAATTTACAGCATTTTCTTCATTCTTTTTGTAAAACATATTTATCATGTAAACAAAATGTAACTTACCCAACCATTTCACATAACTGTTTAACAGAGACACGACTCCTCTCATGTCCCACACATATGAATATAGATCATATAACAACTCACGATTGTTACAATATGTAAGTCGCTGAAATAGTCTATTTACAGCGTTACACATATCATTTAATTTAGCTGCGCGTGCATGCCATTCTTCGATCTAAAAATTTTCATTAAATTAACAATTATAGTTGCAATTTATTTTAATATGTAGGAAGTACCACATACGTCGGATTGAGATGTAGTTTCATCTCCTTTCGGTTTTCTCATAACAAGATGAGCGTTGCTCTTTAACCAGTTAAATTCTTGTAACAACTGGATGCCTTGACCACCGTGTTCAAACGGTAAGTAAAACAGATCACATAGCAGAGAAAGATCTTCAGGCGTCAGTCTCTTATCAACATCGGGAGATTCTTGATCACCATTGTCACCGCTATCATGATTTTCACTATCGTTTTCAACGATCATTTGAGTACCATTTACTGCAGGAGAACTACCATCCACTTCCACTTGCATACTACCGGATGCGTCGCTACATGTCTGTAAAAGAATATTCAAGAATTATATTTCACATACAGTGAATGGCAAAAGTGAGTAGACACTGTTCAAAATAGAATACCCCGGTTAAAATTTGACTAAATAACTTGAGGTATTTTGAGAAGCTATAAAAACTGTATACTGTTACTGGTAAAAAGACTTACTGAAATATTTTCAACCATAGCATCATCCTCCGTTTGAATCTTCGCTGTGTGAGCCGGGGAGTTGTTAGGAGTTGTGTTACAATCCATTGGCTCCATGGACGACAATGTATTTGAACTCGTTACATTTTCCACAGCAGAAGAAATTGATGGAATAATGGGCTCGCTGATAACTGTTGTATCGGATACCAAAGAATTCATAACGGGACCAGAAGAAGGCTGTACATAATTGTCAGCGCTTGGAACGGTTGAACAGACTTCAGCCAATGCCTGAAGGTGATTGGAGTTAGTTACTGGTGCGGGAGTCGCGGGAACAGTAGTCGTCGTTGTCGCTGTAAGGCTCATACAGGTATTCACGGAAGGAATTATTGGAATCGGGATCGTGGGTGCCACGCATGGCTGTGGTTTCGCTATGACACCCCATACATTGCGTTTTTTGTTAAATTCCAGTAACCAATCGTTAATGGCATTTTTTAAAGCGTGTCGAGGATGATATATGTTTGGAGACATTGTTGAAGGTATGTCCTCGAGCACTCCGTCCTCTGTTTCAGTTTCCAATTTTATGTCAGCAGATACAGTATCATCTGTAAAGTAGACAATCATGAGAGTAAACAACAAAATAATAGAAACATAATATTTTATATAATTAGAAGTAAATGCCTACTCAAACTCAAATCCCTTTTCCCATCAACATTACATCTGCTCCACTGAGCCAAAGTATGAATTGCTATGAAATTTGCTCCGTATTCACAGTTGGGGTTTGTTAGAACTCCTCTTAACTTAGGAATCAAATCAGGAGACCTGCCTGAATACGGTCCTAGGAATACTCTTTTCTGATCATAATCATTAGCATGTAAATTATCCCATATGACCGGTGGCCTCCTCAAAACCTCTGTAATTTCTTCGATGGATTCAACAGTTAAAAGTCTAGATATTACTTTGGGGCCAGTCCACATTATATCGATTTCTTGAGCTAATTTACTCCCCAATGTGTTAAGATATTCCGAAGATGCTACATTCGGCATTGCCCTAGTTGCACAGTACTGTGTTGGACACAACAGGAATCTGGGTTGACCGAGGTGTTGAAAAATATCATTTGTTACAGAAACCTATTAAAGAAATGATCGAAATTAATTATGCATAAAATATATAATAGCTAATATATTATTTTACAATTGAATTATTCACATACTTGTGCGTGAGCAAAAGATTGAAATACTTCTTTATCAGCTTCGCTCATTTCGGGTTCTATGTCATCAAATAATAATGCAAATGCAGTGCAACCGAATTGGCTAACTTGTTCCAGTTTTCTTTTTAATATGGTCACTTCTTTTGAGCTCGAATAAGTAATATCCAAGCCAGGAGACAGCGCATAATAGAATGTAATACCACACTCTCTGGCAGCTGTTATAAGTCCTGTTAAATGTTCTGCTTCTTCGACTGTGTACAAATCTCTCCAATACGCACGATGCTTGTAATCATCTTTTGGTGCATACAAATACGAATCCATCCCCCATTTTTTTAATCTGAAAATTATTTAATACAACAATATGAGATAATGTCTTCGATACTGCATTTGCAGCTACTTAGAATCAATGTGAAATACTAGCTTTTGAAACAGATCCTTTCTTTGTTCAGTGGTCCACGGGCGACCGTAAAAACCTGCAAGAACAAAATATGTTTTATCAGAGGAATACTGGGTATTATGATGAATAATGCAAGTGAACTATTGTGCATTCCAATCATTCCCTCTCCTACGTGAAATAATCGCGAATGATGACCAAATACGTGTACTACATGTCGCAAGACAACCGTTCATGTACCTTCAACAACGCCACAGATGAAATTTCCATTTTTCGTATTCAAATTTGCGGCCCCATTTGTCTCCGCCATTGCGGATTACAGGAGGCACGTTTGTTTAGTATCGAAGTAGAAAAATGGCTAGAGTTGCCGAGTGCAAAATGCTACCGTTTTTTGAAAGAACGCAAAGGGAGACTGTGAACGCTGTCTTCCTAAGAAGCACAATCCTACTGCACGAACGTCACGACAGCATTACTTATTTTCTTGAGAGCAAAAGAGTTTACTCGGGACCCGTACACCTCCGAAGGAATAAAAACCTCGTCTCCTATGTATCTGACAAGCTGCACCCGCTGTCCTGATCGATACTGAACGATTTCTCGATCCATCGACTCTATGCAGAACGATTAACGGAACGTTTCGCTGGATTGTGGCGACATCTGGAACTTGAATAGAAGGTGCACTTCAAGATGAGAAGGTGGGACTGCCGCTGATATTGTGTTCCGTAATTATTTAAATAATAACCGGATTTGTCAAGTGTTCAAGCTCGTACTAATCTTCAAATGTAAGTTAACTTAATGATATATGATAATCTGTTGTAATGTATTTAACTAATGTTTGATTTAACAGTTATTCCATTTTGTATTGGAATCCGAACTTCGTGCGCCCGTAGTCTGTGCATCAAGATTCGAATTCCGCGTTCAAACTTCAGAAAAACGTAGTTTAGGTACATAAAATTTACTTCTTTAAGTTAATCGTAAGTATTTATCAAGCAGGGGAAAGTGCAGGTCAAATTAGATATTTTTGATTTCAGGCGGAAAATTTGATTGGGGATGACTCATAATTTACCAGACCAAGTCCCAGCATGCACTACAAGATGTCGTCACGTATACTCCACGTGCCCGTAGTTGAATCGTTACAAAGAGTTTGTAATTTCAAAACTAGCAACGATGTGAACTTCAGAATTAGGTAAGCAATTTAGTATTCCGATTTTTATAAATAATCGCGTATTTTGTTTTTCTAATCAAGAAAAAATAAGAATAGTTACATAATAACAGTTCAATAACCGCAGTTTTGAAAGTAACTTATGTTACTAGAAATATAAATGGATATTATAAAAGAAATTGATATTGCACAGTACATACTTATTTTAAACATCAGTATCGTATCCAACGATACCAACATAATAAAATTTATATATAAATCCTGAAACTAAACTTAAGAGGCTACGAGTAAAATTCGCTCTATATATTCACCATGCTATTATCAACGGCATCGATTAAACGTATTCAATGTATACGTGATTTCGGTATCGTATAACCTCAGTGTTAGCTCGTACTGCAGGAAACGCCACATAAAGCATAGTCTTGTTATACTCGTTTGCACACGCAACGAACATTTAAATACGTACTTTCAGGTGCAAAAGTATAAAGCAAAGATTAATGAAGAAAAAGAATAGGTAGAGAAAGATTGTTACATCAATAACAATTTAATATGTAGAGCAGAATAAAAATAGGAAGGGTTAGATAAAATAAATAAATTAAATAAAAATTTTCAACGCATTTCTTTTAATATGATACTTCTTTAATCAAAAGTCTATGATTTAAATTATACATTGTTACCAGATTCGGTTAAGGGTATAATTTAGGAGTACATATGTATAAATATTGAAACATCTGCAATTCCCTGTTTATTTAATTAATTTATAGAAGCAACTGTTGTTAATATACCAAATTTTGTGATACATAATTTTTTAATGTAATTATTCATATTTATGCCTATGTGTATAAAATAAATAAATGAAATTGAAACGAAATCAAATTGTGGAGGGACTGTAAGTATAGTAGGCGGTGGATGACGATGTTCAGAAGATTCTACCCCCGAAAAAGCGTCAGGTAGGGGAGAACGATAGAACATCGTCCGAAAAGCGTAAGTTCGGCGGTTCAGGCATGCGCGTTCCCTCGGAATCGAAGGGGGCAACTCGTTGGTTGACGCGAGCACCCCGAGACGGCGCGGCAATCGTGGCTGGCAAGAGGGGTGGTAAGTTTTTTTATTTGTCGACCCTCGGGTGGTGGGGGTTGTCGAAGGGGCGGGTATGGCCCGTGGTCGTAACGACGGAGCCGTATCAGTGTGAGGCCGGCTATCAGCCGCCTAACATCGAGGTTGGGGTTACGTTTGTACACGTAACACGGCTGCTGCCGCAGGCACCCACACACACACATTTGCGTCACCCGTGCACGGATCCTCGCGGATTCTCTCGTCGTATCAACGACGAGCACAGAGATCTGCGAACTGTTCACGTGGGGAATCCTTTCTGGCCGTCGACGGGTGGGCAGCTTTTCTCCATGCAGTATGCGTCGTAATCGATAAGGACGGTAGCGGGGCGCGTGTATGGGGGATCGTCTTAAAGGAAACGTCGCGCCCTACGAGTATGTCGAAATGAATGAAATACGTAAGGGTGAGAGAGGGAGAGATAGATAGAGAGAGATAGAGAGAGGAAGAGGAAAAAAGAGGGAGGAAGCGATGCGTGTGAGGTGAGGTTGTGCGTGAGAGGGTGAGAAGGAGGAACGCAAGGAACGGTGCTTGTCGAGGTTAAGGGAATATCCTGACTAAAAGGGCGCTCGGGAGGGGGCGGCGAAGGGTGGAAGATCTCGCGCGCGTGTGGTTTAACGGAAAGAAACAATCGGTATCGGATATTCCGCAAAGGGAACCGTGTTCGATTCATCGTAACGTGTCTCTATTTTCGTTTGACAGCCGCAGGATCAGCGGTGCCCACGAGTCGAGAGGGACAACCGGCCCCGGAAGAGTCGAGTGCCGACAGAGAGTGAACGGTAGGGAGGACGGGAAAGGAGCGGACGGTGGTGTCGTCGGGTAAGGAAACAGCGGAACGTAAACGGGTCACGCGAGCCGTGTTATCAGTGTGTCTCTGGTGCACTGGAGAAAATAATCGAGATATATCGCCGGTGAGTGAAGAGTATCGAGGGTAATTAACCAGTCACGGGATTACCGTTGGTAATAATGGCTGGTCGCGATTGACTGAGAGAGGGAAATTGTGTTTGCGCGGCCACTGGTTGTACTACTGGCTACATCTACTGCCGAGCAACGCGACAGGACGACAAAGGAGGACGAAGATAGAAATCGTGGAAGTAACGAGGAGGAAGGGAGAAGGAGAAACCTGGTAGATTAAAGCGGCGGGATCGCAATCGAAGGAAATCAGATGTCGTTAGCGGAACGTTGGGCAGAACCCGGAACGAATGTGCATCGTTAACGACGTAGCGGCGGTCGTGTGAGTAACGGCAACAACGAAACGAGCAGTCGGTGGCGTCGTGTTCAGTTTCGATACGGAGGTGAATAGAGTCGATGAGGATTGCGAGGAAGACTACGAGGAGCGGATCGAGTCGAAGAGTGTCAGCTACCAGCGAAGGGGCACGCGTTCAGACGACGGTCAGATGATTTTCGATCGATCGATTGACGGTCGCACGGTATCGAGACCATCGCGCCACCGAGTTCTGTTACGTCTCTAGACTGCCATGCCGTCGTACTGCCGTCGGAGATGCGCACCGACGACCACCGATGACGATACTTAGCTGAGATGTGTCGATTCTCGCTGGATCAAAGGGGAGAACGATCAGTCGCCACGACATCTGGACCTTGCGAACGATGCTCCTCCGTTTTGAAAGGAGACTGAGCGTACGGTGATCAGAAGCGATTAGACAGCTAGGGAGAGGGTGAAAAAGGATGGCTCTTCCAAGGAATCCTGTAACAGCGACGAAACGAAGAAAGCAGCAAGTACAGGAGTCGTGGCAAGGGACGAATGCGACCCGTCTCCCGCGTCTGTCAACCGTGCCTCGATTCTGAGGAACGTGGCGGAGGGTTTTTATGTGACGAGGGAGAGGATTCGGCACATTGCTCGTCGGCCGCACGTGCGCATTGATGGTCGATAGCGAAACTCCTTTCACAGCCAGATATACGCGTAATAATCCTGTGCTTTCTCTCATGAATTTTTGCGTCGAACAGGTGTGAGGGAGAGAGAGGGGGGGTAGCCACGTTAGCCAACACGCGAGAACACGCGCAATCCGTCCTAGAAGGAGCGTAACGAGACCGGTGCTCGGAGTCCTGCGATAGAACAGCCAACCGTGGTGTTGAAAGAAGAGCAATCGGGGTGACTAGTTGTACCAATCCTGTGCAACGTGTTGAGAGAAAAGAGAGGGAGCGATAAAGGAAGAAGAAGAGAAGGGAATGCCTGGTTTACGAGGCGGTGTGATCCGTTTCGAGCGAGCAACAGCAGCAGCACATGCTACGGGGATCCGTATCAATTCGCGACTGTGATCTTTAAGCTTAAGGTTTCAAACAAATATTCAATGAAAGCAACTGAATAAGAAGAAGTAACAAAGGTGAATAAGAAAGACCGAGAGGGGGTGTAATTATATAAATAATTAACGTAAATGATAGAAAAACTAAATCGTCCATTGCGATGCTAAGATGTATTAACGGAGGATTAAGGTGAACACGTGCGCTCAAGGAGATGGGTGTGAATGAAAGGGGGCGCGACACAGAGTGTGCCAGGCTGAAATGCGAGTGTAATTAATGGAAACGATGGTCGATCGCGGGGCATGCGTCGGATCTACAAACTGTGATACACACCGATAACCGCAACGGGAAGAGTCTGATGTTTGATCACTGACGTCGAATCGCGTGTACCGACCTGTCGACCAACAAAGTGACATGAATCGCCGGTTTGGAAACGCATTATCCATCAGCTGGTGATTCTGGTTCCAAGGTACGTCCCTTGGCCTTTGTGCGAGATTCAGAATTCATTGGCTGATTGAAACCTGTCCGTCGAGTCTTCTCTGTTTAACGAACTCCTCTTATGAAACTTTCCACTCGCCCTTACCATTGCGAGCGTGTAAATCATAATAATTGATTGAACATGAAGAGTCAAAACTTTGCAAAGGTTTTTTCTTTACGCGTCGATGGATAATTGAAATTAGACATAGTTGGATGAAATCTTTGAGCGGAGAGATTCGACGGACTTGGCGAGAAAATTAATTAGCGATCGCTTTTGAACTTTTGCAATCGAATGTTTCTTCCTCTTTTTTAATTTATTTAAGTTTCTTTTTTTATTTAATATTTGTATCGTCCTTGACTTTGTTCCCGCGCAATCGTTGCAAATGAGGCATGCAGCTAGGAAAATGTCTCTGCAACGAGAGACGCGAACCTGCACGACATTCGTATCGTAATACCTTTTGATGAACGATAAAAAACACGTGTACAGAGTAAATGTCGCGGGGAAATCACGCGAAACTTGCGCGGCACGAGATTCACTAAACGGCTGTGCTTA